GGCGCGGGGTGGGCTGCAGCTGCAGGGCGTGCGACGACGGCGGGTCTTCTGAGATTGCTGCGCTCTGCGCTTCATGATGAGATATGCAGCGGCGATACGAACGAGGCGATTTTTCGACCCGCGTGATCTCATTCAGAATCAATCGAATAATGCAGTCAAAATACGCCCATATGCAAGGCACAAATTGGTGCGACAGCTCCGCTACGCGGCCCTGACCTGGCCCACACACGCGCCTCCCGCCTTACTCTATCTGGTCAGCAATGAAGCATATTTTCGTCGCCAAATAACGCATGGTTACCACGCCACCCTTCGTTCCCCGCTGTCCCCGTGCAGCCTCCCCCCCCCCCCCCCCGGGGTCCTTGGGCCTTCCTCGCGATAATAACGCGCAGCCGAATTTCGAGGCGACACGCAAAGTCCGTGGCGAAGTAGATAATAGAGTGCATTTTTAAAAAAAAGATCGCGCTTCGATTCGAAGGGGTCAAGACTGATCGTAGTCTTTCGCCGAAAGAAAACCCAATGAAAAGTCGAATCAAGGCGACTGGGTCGATACTAGATATGTGTCTGTTTCAGGGTAGAGATTCCACTCGAAAATCGACAATGAGGGGGAAGTGAAATTCTCTAGAAGATTCCCCTGGCGAAATTTCTTGTACTTACTGGGTCGAGATCCAGCAGGGGGTTGAAGCCTCGGTGCCAGGCGTTGAGGTCCGAGCTGCGAGAGAAGAGGTAGGCGGACAGCAGCAGGCCGCCGTCCGAGGAGTAGTCCGCCTTGGGGTCGACGGCCATCGTGAGGGCGGCGCCGAGCACCACCGCGGCCAGCAGGGCCCGCACCACGCCGGCCATCTGCGAGGTGAACGTCACACGGAGCCATGAGGAGAGAGTCGCGCCCGCGAGGGGTCATTGGCACGCGCGCGACGTATTCAAACATCGCGCCAAGACGGCGGCGCCGCGCCGCCGGCAGCGGCAGCCTTGCCTTCACATGTGCGATAGCGCCCCGAGGCTGCACGTGCTGCGCACCTGTGCGGACCCGCGACCTTATCTACCAGGGCCTCCTGGCGCGCACCATGGACAAGACTGCGGATCCTGCGCGACTGTCCCGGTCGGTGGGGGCCGCGCGGGCTGCAAACCGAGTGCAAACGGTGCGCACCCCACCGAGACACGCGGGGCGGGCTCACCCGACGATCAAAATATAACGAACGCGAGGAAAACCCACACTATGCGGTCGGTGAAAAACTGATAAACTTTACCGTGCCGATTATGTAGGCAAGGAACTCCCCTGTGTGTACTTTGGGTCCCGCCCCCCTTTTTTTACGCATTGAACCGCATCGACAAAAAGGGCCGTACTTTTCCCGTCCCCTGCATGCATCGCAGCAAAGCGACACCCACCCAGACGAACGTGGCGATGAGGACAAGGAGGGCGAGCAGGAGGTAGTCCTCCATGGTGTCGCGAGGCCTGGGGCTGGAGGACGCGGAGGGACAGGACAAACAACAACAACTCGGCACGGCCGCAGTGCTCACTGGCCGGCCGCAGACTGAGCCGCTCTCCCTCGAGCACAACAGCGAGCGCCCACGATCAGCCCGCCGAGCGGCGGCGGTCCGGCGGTCAGAGGAGCCGGGCAGCTCTGGCAAGCCACGCCACGCCACGCCTGCAGTCAGAATACCGTAAGTGAATGAACCAGCCGGACCGCGCGCAACGACGATCATTTATTTCATTTATTGTGCGTTGCAGACTAACGCTTCCGTTTGCCACGTACCGTACTACCCGATCCGTCCAGCGCATATCATCACCGATCAGGGAAACGGGGAGAATATCGAATAAGGCTTAATGTCATTTTTTATTTTTTCTTCGTGAAAATGGGCAACGGCGAGTCGGCCAGGTCATGTCCCTCGGCGATAAGAGTCCGTTCATCACAGCATCACCGAGACTCACTCTGCTCGCGATCGCGGGAGAGTTCGCGCTCGATGTGAGAGGGGGGGGGGGGGGGGGGGGGCGTGACAGACTCGGAGGCGGGAGAGGACGCGGGCCGGACGACAGGCTGCCGGGCAGGACATCAATGCGCGGCGGGACTGCATACCTTGCAGGTGCTCCAGCCCCCCCCCCCATTTTCCAATAATGACACTCCGTTCGAAAGATACTTACCACACACTGGCGCACCAAGAGTTTAACCGGTCAAACACCTGCGTTCAACTACATTGTCGCGCACTCTTGTATGTGTTTAACTTGTCTGTTTGTCGGGCGCATTATCTTTATGGGATGTTGTGTTCAACAGATAACACTGTCATGTTAAATACGAGTGTTCAGCTGTCAATTTTGCAATTACCGAACACTTAAAAGAGTCAAGAATATAATATGCGAAGGGGATTTCAGGGTTATCTACCAAGAATATGAAACTTCCTAGAGTCAATCCTAGAAAGAGGTCGTTTCATGTCAGAGCGATAAAGCGATGAGCCAAGAGCATTTTCTCGACTAATCGACGCGAATATCAATATCCTCATATTTGAGTCATGCATCCATTTACTCGATAGATAAAAAGACTCCAAACAGGAGTTGTTGTTTTTTTTAAACTATTGAAGTGAAGTCCCAAATTTTCGACCGATATGGAGCATGGAAAAATGTCTCTCTTCCAAAAGAGCTGGACGCTTGCATTCAAATGCTCATAATCTCGTAAAAGCGAGAATACTGACTCCTGGGCTCTGGCTCTAAGGTTTGTAGTGCCGATACGGTTTGGGAGAACACATCATGCAGTCCACGGCGTACACCCAAAAAAGCGTGTTCTTGTTTCAAGTACAGCAATTTACTTGATTTATGGTGGCCTTGAATTGAGGTCAGTGGGGCTCGATAGCTAAGAGGTAGGTTTAAACGTTACTTGCGCCGTAACGACATCTACAGGAGTCGTCGACGGTACAGGAGGGGTGTAAAGAGGCGTCTAGGAACTCACCCAGTTAAAACCCCACTAACAAATCTCACTCAGGGACGAAATAAATAGAAAAAACTGATAGTTGACAAAAATCGTCCTCCGCCATCTTGGAATTTTATGGCACATATGCCCTACAGCCTGACTGGAGTGTCGCTCAGCCTTGCGGGTGGTACTACCGAGTTCGCAAGGGTCGACTTTGGGGGGGTCATGTTAAGTGAAAAAACCGCTAGGACCTACCCGTATCATTGTTTATTTAACAGCCTGCCCTCAACCCCAACGTGACTTGACTTGACGACTCGCGAGGCCACTTTCGGCTCACATGCGTCAATCTCAAACTATTTTTGCACTTGCGTCGGTGTGGAAGTTCTCAGCACGAGTTAATCCACCCCGGCACGAGTCAATGCGGTTTCTAGAATCGCTACCATTCGGACCTCAAATTCTTCGAGCTCTATGTTCTTAAAATCATTTCTGAAATATCAAGCACCATGCGGTGTTGACCCGAGGGCTGGCGTTCTTATTAACTTCGCCTTACAAGATTATTTCAATCTAGAATGCTTACTTCAAGTTCCAACCGGGCTCGATCAATTCAAGTGCATTTGGCGCTTGTATCAAGTAAAATGCACTTGGATCAAGTTTAGGCTTTTCTGGGTGTACATACAGACACACACACATGGTAAAAATAACACAGGACGTTTACCGTGATGTGTCCAGAGATGATCACGGCCTCTGTGTGCACAGCTGGGACAACTTCGGCGCGCTATCGGCTGAGAGGAGCTAGTGACGGGAGCCGGAGCAGCAGCCGGGCCGGAGAGGGGTCGGAGGAGAGCACTTCGTGGGGAAGGGCGCGCGCGCGGCTAGGCTCCGAAGACTAACTGCGAACAGCTCAACGGCAGCAGCAAGTGGTTGCGGACCGCTGTCAATCGGCGCCCCGGCGGCATCACGCCACGACTATATTGACGACATGCCCCCCTCCACCTATACCTTCACACCTGGGGCCTCTGTCCACCACGGGGGCGGCGACTTAATCACCCCGTGAGAGGGAGGGGGAGGAAGGGGCGAGAGTGCATCTGGTGTTCGCATCAGACGATTGCGTGAGTGTGCACGGTGGGGAGGGTTGGGGAGGGGAGGGCCAACTTGCTACTTTTCGAGAGCCGCTCTCACGCCCGTCACCGCTGATTATAACGCTGTCACCGCGGCTGACATACGAGTCCAGAGCAGACTGCAGTGTTCAAAGAGTAGTGATGCGGATAACAGAGGGGCAGTCATAAGGCGACTTGACGCTGGGCGCTGGGGCCACGTGTAGTACAAATGTCAAATGGAGGAGGAGGAGGCGGGAGAAGGGGTACCTTCCGCGTGTAGCTGTAGTCTGTGGAGCTGTACTGGGACTTCAGCCTTCCTCCTTCCGTCTGGACAACAACACTACTTATGCGACTTTAATCTCAAACTCTCCCTTTCGATACTAACTTAACACGAAAAGAAAATAGTAGGGCTGCAGTAGCTCAGCGAATGATCATGTAGCTATGTTGCACCTAAAATGATTAGTTATCCAGGCGCAGTTTAAGGAAGGTGGTCACATCGTTTCCACCCAGAATTAACAAAGTGCTGATTCTACACCCAGCAGACGGCTGGCCGTTGAACCCCGCTCACCAATAGCGCAACGACATGACACCCCTGTGATGGCGATATATATTCCAAGTCCAATCCGAAAGGGTTCAATTGCTTCTGTATAGCGATAGTACGGAGCAGGGGACCAGCGGTCGCCACAACATCTTTGAAATGACCGCGCTAAATTGGTGTCATAATACGTCGCCGGTCCGCCGGTCTGCAGGTGGTGCGATCCTATCGCTCATCCGCTGGTTATCAAAGCGACACCTGCGCGGGCGCACCTGCGTCCATAAGTGTTTGCCGCTGGTATCCCGCGCAACATTTGCTTTTTTTCTGGTCAAGTAGGGAAAGATTGCGGCTCGCATGAACGAGCGGCGTGGCGAGGGTAAATTTAAGCCCTAGGCCGGTCCCTATAGGCGCAAGTCTGAAGAAAACGACTGCAAAAAGAACACCCCCCCCCCAAAAAAAAAAGAAAAAACAAAACAAACATGTACAAGAAGGTTGTTGAAAAAACTTTATTATTAAAAATATCACAGAACACAAACACAAATCTTATATCGCACGCCGGTGTACGCTCGAGGCAAAATAAAGAGCCTTATTATAAAAATTATCACAGATTTAAAATGCGGTGGACAGCCCAAGTCATTCCTGCATAGCCTTCTGCTATGGTCTCCAGCCACCCTCCCTCCACGCGTCTTGTTAACTGTACCCGTTGGTCGACAACACGGCTTCCTTCATGTCGGCGATGGCTCTCTTGTAGACGAGCTCGGGTGCCTCCTTGCTCCAGACGAAGTTCAAGTGCGTCCAGAGTGGGTCTGCCACGGCATCGCAGCTCAACACGTTTGGCAGTGCGGCACACAGGGGCTCCACGTCCTGTGACGTCGATTGATTAAAAAACTGTGCACTGTTGGACATTATATCGTGATCTGACGAAAAATGGCCAGTTAATTTGACTACACAAATAAGTGATTTTAAAGTAAAGAATGCAAAAGTTTGTGACTCGGTTGTTGTACTGAAGAAACAGTCTCGTTAGTTTTTGTTTTGTTTTGTATGCGCTTCAGTTTAGCGGGTGCGAGCTTGCCACTTCGCCCGCAAGCAGGTGCCACGGTGTAATGGCGCCATGGCCCCCGCGACCGACCCTGCGACCGTCGCGAGTATGCAACACGCTGGAGCGCATTGGAAGAAACACCCAGTATCGATACGTGTTGACAACAGCGAACCAAAAAACTCTAGAATAAAGCACGTAAAATGCTTTATTTTTCGCATAACATGTTGCGCTATTTGTTGTGTGGAACCGGGAGTCGTAATCAGCGCGTTTCAAGTCCATCATTAGCTACTTGACGCAATAACACGGCCGACCTTGATGATGATGTCGGTCATCTGTCATCCACTCACCCAATAAATAAAATACAGCAACGTTATTATGCGAAAAACACAAGACAACAACGTAAATTTTTCTGGAATCGGGTCAATGAGTGCCACGTGTTCCCTCGGTTCATTCAGTGAGCGCAAAAAGGCCGGCTGTTCTGCTCACCCGTGGAACCGCCAGCAGATCGTTCATCCCGTAGTACAGTCTGGAGGGGACGACGATGTTGCTCACGTTGTACCTGGGTGGCCTCTCCTGGCCGTACCGTGCGAGGTTCTCGGCCGTCCCGTAATCGTACTGCTGGAAGCCTGTGGACGAAAACAAACGAAAGGGAAACGAGTCTCCATACAGCTGCGCGTCTGGAGTGACGGATGCGTTTGCGAGCGACTGCTCCGTTGGCAGCCCACCTTGTACATGGGACTGTCCGTAGTGGCCAATGTTTTTGTACGACGTTCCAGCCGGCGTCCGAGAAATTGCGTACGGTAACAGGGACTGGAGTAGGTCATTGCAAAACAATTTAACCGCGACATTCATACAGGTAAAACAATAAAAATAAAAAAACCCTGAGGAGTCTGACTGTTTTCCTTACCGGGTTACTCTGCTTGTCGTTACGGCCGCTCATCGCGTTGATGAGCAGCACGCACAGCGGCTGCGTCGGGCTGCCGTCCGAACAGAAGATCTCGCCGGCCGTGCGGATCGCCGCTGAGGTGGGCAGGAGCCAATACACACCGTGCGCGGCGGCGTTCCGCTGTAGACAAAATACTCATGTCGAAATCAGCGGTCAAACACTTTCAGTCGCAAAGACTGACCACCCAGAGAATTTGAATCCGTTTTTCTCTCGGATTAATTCGGTAAATATACAGACGGGACGCTCGGCGCCCCTGTGAGATTCAGAGTAGGCCGCCCCGCAGTACACGAATGCACTGCAGGCGAGACATTGCCTACCCATCAGGCGCTAATGAAAGCTGGCATGCCCAGGCGAAACCCAGCAGCTTCGATCCTAAAGTACCATCCAGAAAGTACGTCCGTCATTCGCCGCCGTATGGGGCCTGCCACGTTCAGCCTCCGGCAAGCTCTCATAGCGCCTGGTGGGTAGGCAACATCTCGCCCGCAGTGCACGCGTGTACTGCGGGGCGGCCTAACCCGAGTCTCGCAGGCGCCGAGCTCCCCGTAATTTGCCGAATGAATATGAGAGAAACGGGTGTACTTTTTAACGTCCAGCTACGAACATTCCCTCTGGATGACCCCTTAACCAATCACAGCCTCCTCGCCATGGACCAAAGGCGGCGACCTACCATGCGCGTCGGGTTGGTCTGGAGCACGAGGCGGAAGAGGGCCGATCGGACGTTCATGACGTGCATGACGGGGCCGAAGCCGGTGAAGAGCTGCACGTGCCTGGCCACGTCCGGGCGCTCCGCGGCCATGACGAACATCATGGTGGTGCCCATGGAGAAGCCCACGTACTGCACCCGCCGCTCGCCCGTCTCGCGCATCGCGTACTGGATGAGGGCCGGTAGGTCCTGCGTCCCGTGCTCATGGAACCTACAACAAAATAAGAGCTGATTGACAGGCGAGCCCAGATGACGTTCCGAACCGGTTCCGGGTCCGGGTGGAATAAGTCGGTCAGGGAGATCTTCCAAATCAAAATTTTTCGCCAGTAAAAAGATGAAAAACTAATGTATGTTTGGGATGTGAAATAAACGCAAGGGCTGCCGGAATGCTTTTTTTAGGGCAAATCTCGCGGCGGTTGCAAGGTCATTTCGTAAAAATACAAATTCGCGCCAAATTACGAAAAAAAATAAGATTATGAACCAAATTATCTTCCTTTGACGAGCAAATTGTACATTTCGATTGTATTTGTAAATTTACAAGTGCCTTTGTGACTTTATGAACGTGACTGAGCAGTGAACAACTTTACTTGTAAATCAAAGTTATGAAAAATGCCGTAAATTTGCGGAGACAGTTATTCACAGTGTTACATATTCTCGCAGAAAAACCGGTTTGAGGATGCGAATTATGATGCAATCGTTTCGATCAATCATCATTTACGACAGATGTGGAATTACCACGCAATCGGTTTCGAATGTCCGATACTCACGAAAAGTCCCAGAAAGCGGCAGACTTGGTGTCGAGCGTCGTGTGGTTCAGTGAGTACGTGTTGCCCCGCGCGTTGAAGAGCCACACGTCGAAACCCTCATCGGCCAGGAGGTACGCTGTTCCGGGTTAAAAATTACAACGTAATATTAGACTGATATTCCTGGTTAATAGTAGGGTATCATAGTGTAAGGAATAAGAATAATGGCGAGTGAGTATACACTGTAAATAATAACTGTAGCAAAACAATACATTTTTGAGATGAAACAGTTCTTGAGTAACAACAAAGTTGTTTTCGTTCAAAACGGTAAACTGCTGTTGAGTAACGGTAAAAATTGTTACTGGTGAACACGAAATGTTGTTGGCCTGGATTACCAATAAGACTTGTTTTGCCGGCGGGCTTTGCTCACCTAACGCCTTGCCGGGGCCGAGGACGATCCACTCGGCGGAGCAGGGCAGAAGGGGGTGCGCCATGATCACTACGGGTCTCTGTTGCCCCCTGCCCCTGCCCAGCTCATTGCCAGATTCCGAGGTTCTTGCGCCCCTCGAAGGTCCCGTGATGCGGTGGATGCCCAGGATGTAGCCGTCGTCCGTGGTCACGTGGTGCAGCTCTGCGTTGTAGCCCCAGTACCGGGAGAGTTCCACCTCCATGTCAAAGATTTTTTATTATTTTCAACTTGGTATCCTCGAAATTAGCAAAACGAGTTTAAGTGCCCCATAATAGGGACATAATGGCCCCCCCACCCCGTCGCACTACACAGTGTCTGAATCAGGCCGTTCACAAGGAAGGAACCTGGAACCTGGCGCGTCTGAGCCGTCTTTGCTCGCCTGGAGGAGACTGGAAGGACTGCCTTTTAGGCGTGATTCCAAAGTATGGTACCTCGATCGATTTTGACAATGTGCCTGGGCCTGGGAAGGGCCGACAAGGAGACTTCAATCCCAAGCCCCGCAGCCAAGTGAGGCGATCCCGGTCGCCAAGTGGTCATAGTAGGGTTGGTACATTTTCAGTAAGACTCGATTTTCGATTCGTCGATTCTGGAATCGAAACCAAAGAATCGATTCTTTCAAAAATCGATTTTCTCCCCTTAAGAATCGATTTTCGATTCGATTCTCGATATTTTTGTCTATGCGTAGAAAGGCAATAGTTTGAGTGTGAAAGTGATTAGCAATGAAATGATGCAAAATCGTTTATTATGAAGAATATTAATGTGGCTCCTTGCCCTGATTAAAAGTAAGAATTATTGCATTTAAGAGTCAATATAGAATACGAACATTCTCCAAACAGCGCTACATGCATGTGAATGTGTCCGGCGGGAAGGTCCTCCGACCCCGATCTGACTCTAGCACACTAATTTCAAACGTTGGACGTGGACCAGTTCCTCTTTCCAGTATAGCTAAAATGTCAAATTTTTGGTTGGTTCCCGGCGTATACAAGTGACCCCCGCGATTGGGGCTGATGTATGGTACCCTCGGCCTCGGCAACAATTCTGCGAAAGAAAATCGAAAATACTTGCTCGTCGTTCCGAAGGGCCTAAGTCCTCTTGGCGACTTGACGTCACTCGCTACGGCAAACGATAATTCTTTCAGTCATCGATCACAGGCACTTTGAAGGAGGACCCCCCAGCGAACATTTAATATAAATATGACTCACATGCGCCGCGCGCCGCCGCTGCGGCATGCGGCAGACACCCGTGCATCGCTCTCCAATTCTGAAACGCCTTTGCACGGTGGGTTACCGGCGTCGCAGAGCGACCGGCCAAAGACCAACGACATCGAATTTACCGATTTGCCATCAGGAATGTTACCCACCAACGCCTCATAATGAAATAGGCAAGCCAAGATGGGGCCTGCGGCGCACTTGGCTGGCCCAAGAGGCGCGCGGAGATTCAAAATCAGGCAAATTTTTAAGAATCGAAAATCGACGCTGAGAATCGATTCTTTCGATTCTCGTGATGCGCGTAATCGATTCCGATTCGAATCGAAAATCGACGCGGGGAATCGATTTTCGATTCGAATCGGAATCGAATCGACCAACCCTAGGTCATAGGGGTCTTAGGTTACCCTAAACCAGGTACCTTTGATGGGGATTTTCGAAGTAGCAGGTTTTTGAATAGTTTCTCCACCGCGCTCTCACCGGGTCCAGGTCCAGCAGAGGGTTGAAGTCCCGGCGCCACGCGCTCAAGTCGATGCGGGGAGTCCCGTCGCTGGAGAGGACGTAGGCGGACCACAGCGGGCCGAACGAGGCGTAGTCCGGCACGGTGTCCACGGACTCGTAGGCCACGGCCAGGACGGCGTTCAGCACGGCCGAGACCAGCAGGACCCCCGCCACGGCCGCCATCTCCACCGGGTGCATTGCCAGGCACAGGGTGGACAGGACGACGCGGTGCGGGCGGCCTAGCTCGCAGGCGTCCGCAGCAGCGTAGTGCTGGTGCCACAATGAGATCTCACTCTGGAACAGGTCGGGCGGCTTATGACACGCGGAAGTACACACTGGAGTCCAACGCAGTGCACGGCGCCCACGTGCATAATGAGGTACTAGGCTGATTGCGAATTAGCATAGGAAAACAACGGAGGTGGGCGTCGCCAAGTCAAACAAACAGTCGACTGGCCGTAATCTAGTAGTCGCATATAAATGCTACATCGATTTTGCGACTTTTTCGCAATTTTCTATTGAGCCTCTTCGGAGAACATTCTGAAAAATTTTGCTCGTTCCTCGGCGGCCGTCTTAGCCTTGGCCCCACACCTTCACGTTCACTAAACAAGATAACGTTGGGCGTCAAACAAACGCTTAGCTTAGGTGCTCGGCATCGACATCACCCAAGACGAAATACGGTCAAAATATAAGGTCACATTGCGTGCACGTGGAGGGAACCTGAATGTATTACTACCTAGGGACCACGTGCTGAATATACCAGGTGGCTGACTCACGCAGCCCACTTTCGTGGGTATACTGTACCGCATGCACTGGTGCGGGCGGGCTTGCCTATCGTCGCTGCCCACGGCTCCTTGCGGCTCCGTGCGATTAGGCAACCCGCCCGCACGCGTGAATGCGGTACAGTATAACTACAAAAGTGCACGGCGTGAGTCAGTCAGCCCCCTGGTACTTTTCTTTTTGCCGTCACCTCAGCCTCAGTTCTACCCCTCCCCGGTTTGGAGTCGGAAATGACTACAGAGACCAGGTGACTAGATCGGCGGGGACGCGCTCACAGGCTTACGAAGAAACTTGAGGCCAGACTGCAGCGCAGCACAAGACACGTAACAAATATGCCACAACCGACCAGAATCGCCACCACCTGAGCACTGGCCTGTACGCGGGAACGCTCAGAGCAAAACGCAGTCCACGAGATACCCCCTCCCAAAGCCGGTGACGTAGCTCCAGGTAACCTTAGTCGAGTCCACCTTGGTTGAGTGGAGGTGGTAGGGTCTAAACACAACACGCGGTGATGATGAGAAACGCGTCAACGTCCGTCATGGTCAGCTCTAAATACCTTCAATGAGAACGCCGCTTTTTACTGCTGATAAAATTGTCTACAGTGCGCCCTGTCAATTTGTTACCTCGTCAGCGACTGTAATTTTGGATTACGGTCAACTCCGTACAGGATGTACTGTAACTTCGCAAACCGTATTATTAGTCAGTACAGCACTTGACTTAGACACCGAAGCACGGCCCATATCTTAGACAAAATAAACAGGGCGTACTGTAGGCAAACTGTATACTTCCTTACAGAATTTTTAACAGTGTGCAACTACCCGAAAGTTTCGTGTCACGACTTTGGGACCTCGCACCTTTCTGCGCGCGACAAAGTCATGACAATGTGAACAAATTATCCATCGCGTGTCCGCGGAGGCTCGGCAAGAGTGCGTGGAGCGATTAAAGGGTGGGGAGGGAAGAAGGAAAAGTCAGACAAACTACTTACCCCGATCATTGATCTTGCGCCGTCACCTCAGACACCCCGGACGCTTCCGCGCCTGGACTGAAAGGATGGCCATTAGCTCGCTCGCATCAGGCGAAGTCCACCGCCAAAACGCCCGCCGCACGCGAGGGCGCGCGCGTGTCGTCCGCCGCGTATAGCCGGCCCGCCACGATGAGGGCGATGAAAGACTTCCTCGAGGTCACCGTCCTGCTGTCCGCGGCGCTGTCCTCCACGTCGCAGCCCGTGTCCCAGGTGGCGGGCTGCATCGCGGCCTTGCAGCGGAGCTACTTTGAGTCGTGTCGGCAGGTGACGGTGCTGGGCGGCTCGGAGCTGTCCGCGGAGCTGCGCGGGATGGTGGGCGTGCCGCAGCGGGGGATGTCCCTCGCCGGGGCGGTGGCGTGGAGGGCGGGGGAGACGTTCCCCGACGGCCTCCCCGCCTACAACTACCTCACCGACCTCTACGTCGTGGACCTGAGGTAAGGCTGTCGTCGTCGTCGTGCTGCGGGACGCGCAGACGAGCCCTCGCTCGTGTCACACACGCTGCAGTTGACTGAGCAGCACGGCAAACGCGTCGCAGGAACGAAGGTGCGGGCGCGGCGCTGCTGGCCGTGCTGCCCATGGACTCGCGCACGCCCGTCATCGTGGTGACCGCCCCGGAGCACAGCCCGCAGGGCGCAGCCGACGCAGCCGACGCGGCCGTGGGCGCGCTCTGGGGCCGGCAGCTCGTCAACGCCCTGGTGCTCGTGGCCGGCGCGGACCGGGTGTCGGCCTACTCCTTCGAGCCCTTCTCCCGCTGCCACGCCGCGCCCGCCGCCCTGCTGCTGGACCAGTGGGACGCGGGGGGCTGGCTGGGCAGCGGGCGGGCGCTCTTCCCCCGCAACGAGCGCGTGCGCCTGGGGAGCTGCCCGCTGGTGGTCAACGCGGAGCACCAACCCCTGGCCGTGGTCGTGGGGACGCAGGACCCGAGCCGAGGGTGGCGCGGGGACCGCGGGATAGAGGTCCCGCCTCCAGGGGTCTGCCAGTGCGCGAGCGTGCACGCCTCCCCGCCTCCACTCGCCAGCAGGCACCTGCGCCGCCGTGCCGCAGAGAGCTGGGCCACCGGCCTCACCATCGAGATGCTCAGCGAGATCGGGCAGCACGTGGATATGCGGGAGCCGTACTGTCTGCAGTCCGCGTGCGACGGTGTGCCCTACGGCACCTTCTACAGGAACGGCACGGCGATCGGCATGTTCGAGGACCTGCGGGCGGGGCGCGCGGACGTGGCCGTGGCGTACTTCCTCTCGAAGCCGTCGCGGAGCCGAGGCGCCGAGATCATCATGACGGGCCACATGAACGATGCGGTGTGGATCGTGCCCTCCGGACTGGGCCGTGAGCTGTCCCCGCTGCAAGAGCTGACCCGCCCCTTCCAGCCGGAGCTGTGGGCCGCGCTGGTGGCGACCGCGGCCGCCAGCTCCGTGACGGTGTGGCTGCTGGCGTCCCGCTCCCGCGGCCGCGGGGGACGCTTGTCGCGGTTCGAGTTCGCCGTCGGCTTCACGCTGTGCTCCCTCCTCGGCGTGCCCTGCGCCGGGCGCGTGCCGCGGCTCAGCGCGCTGCGCCTCTTTTTGTTCCCATGGTTCATGTTTACGCTCGTCGTGTCGACGAGCTTCCTCGCCCTCGCCAAGGGCCGCCTCCTCAAGCCGATGAGGAACGCAGACATCAACACACTGGGGGAGGCCATGGAGCTGGGCCTGGGTGTTGAGCTCCATCAAGTCACCTGGGACGATCTGAAGGTCGGCTGCGATCATACAAGAGACACCGTCATGAGCAATGTTTTGCGGCGTGCGACGATCCAGGTACGTCACCCCGCCCGCAGGCGCAGGGACGGTTTAAGCTAGGCCATATGCCATCCTGCCTCTTCGCACCGTCCACGTCCACCAGGCATAGCCTGACTTGTCCCGTTAAAATGTTCCGAGCTCATTTTTGGTAGTACGTACCAATGATCTAACAAGGCGTGACCACAAAGTGGCCACTCCACACCGCACTGTACGTGTAAAAGGATAGTGATGGACATCATGTATTTTCGGCAGGAGAGCGCCATTACTACGATCAGCGAGACGGTGGCACGCGGTCGGCGGACCATCAGCCTTCAAATGCGTGGCACTGTCGACTATCACCTCAAAACCAAAAGGGAAGAAAAGACAGCCCCTGGGATCCACATCCTGCCCGTCGGAAAGTGCCTCCCGACCACCCCAACGTCGTGGATCGTGCTCCGCAAGGGTTCGGTCCTCGCGCCGACAGTCAGAGTGCTGGTCAACCGCATGATGGCCGCGGGGCTGATCGAGCTCTGGATATCCAGGTGAGGACGCCTTGTGCGCAGGGCAAGAGTATGCGCTGTCCCTCTAAGCAGGGGTAGCATCGGGTAGCAAACAACAAGCACATGGCAGTTGAAGCAGATGATTGAGTACAATGAATGCTCGGCAATGCTGCTTCTCCCATCGGACAGATTCACTCCAGAGGGCACGAGGCCCGCACATCGTAATGTAGCTCTCGCAGTGAAAAATCTGGAGCCGTCATGGAAGCTGCTGGCGCTGGGCCACGCCGTTGCGCTGCTGGTGTTCTTGGGCGAGCTCGCCGTGTTCCGGAGACGCCCCCACCCTCGAGCTGAAGTTTTCACTAAGTTAGGATCAAGGCTATTTGAATACAAGAATTTTCAATAGTACTGTACATTTTTAGTTTATTATTTATATAAAGCAAGTAAGAATTAGATGGCACTTGGCCTTGGCAGTACCATTTTCCAATGCCATACCTTAAGATTAGATAATTAAAACTATTAATCAGAGTCGTCTGAGTCTTGCTGAGGTCCTGCTGAAGCTTCCTCTTCCTCCCCTTTCATTCTTGCTATGATTTCCTTGGCAGGATTGAACATACCATTAGTTTGGGCATTGCAAATGTAGCACCGCGTTGATTTCTTATAATTTTCTAAAGCACATTTCTCACAAAAATAGTGGTTGCACCTGCAAACAATAAACAGTTTTATAAATTTTTGCACTGGGACACAATACAGTTAATAAGGAGGTAATTTTTTTTAAAAAAAGAACCCTGCTTACTTTGTCATAACAGGATCTTTGAAGGTTTTACGACAAATAAAACACTTAAAAGGAAGGTGATCTGTGTCATCAGCTATTTCATACTTATGTGGATCATCATCGTCATCCCCATATGTTCCTTCTGCCATTTCTCTTTCCAGCTGCCACCCAAACTTGTAATCAGATCTATCATGCAAAAACTTACAGCTGTCTGTAGGGACAAAACATTTTAAATCAATTACCGCTGTGCATCATTTGATACTGAAATTGTGTGCATATGTTATTTGAATATCCGATTCCACTTACCTCCAAAACCACAAAAGCCAGTCTCCTTGTAATCTTTGCAAATATCTGGTTGATAATCCCATCGTACTGTTGACCTCAAGTTAGATGGAGCACGGATAGGACCTTTACGCACCTTCACGGAAAGAAATAAGTGTGTTAAAGGATTTCAAAAAACTAATCTACCTACATCAGAGCTAGATTTGATGCTTCTTACCATGCCGCTGGAAGCATTTCCCTGGGCAGTGTCTCTCTTTTCATAAAACTGCTGATAGTTTTGCATACCCCGATAGATTTTATCATCTTCTTTGCCTTTAAGC